AAGATAGCGGTTGCTAGGGTTTAACTCTCTTAGCCTCCTGCGCTACTCTTGTCACTTCAGACACTGCCTGCCGGCCTACAGACGTGCGTTAGTCTGACAGTCAAGTCTCCTACCTATTCTCCATTCCTTTTTAGAGTAAACTGTTCCTACCAATCTGGACTCTTACCTCTTCTTCTCCTCCTAAGTTAGCGGGCCTGAAAGCGCGCAGTGACAAGGGTTAACTCTATTAACCTTATTAGATAGATGTTCATGCTCGAGTGAGAGCTCTAATGGCAACATGGACGGACGATTGTGTCCTCTAACAGATCGCTGTACGCGTATCTGCTACAAAAATGTTTGTGTATAGGTGATCCCCGGAGAGATCTTCAATCGCTTCTATGTGGCAAGAAGGAAAAAACTGGCACCGAGTTCGCCGAAACTGCAGTCCAAGTTCCCTGAAGCGTGTTTAACGAATTCAGTTGGTGTTTCGACTGTAAAATCGTTGAAGGTGACATAACCAGTGCGCAAAACACTGCTGGCTGTATTTTGATCTCCAAAATAACCGGGAATTCCGATTATTACTTCAATGCTTTCCTTTCTTCCTTTTTGCAAACTAGTTTGTAAACTTCATCCTAAAATCCTTGCCGTTTTCGCAGCTGATTCCAGTGCGTCATGCCTGAAGACGAATCAGAGAGTTAAGAAGTAGTTCCTCAAAGTACTTGCTGTTTTTACTTCCAAAAGATATGAAGGTTTTTCGGAGGCTGTTGGATCTCGAGTTTTGTGTTCTTTTTTGTAGCCTTTAGTTTCAACATCGAACCGACTAGAGGTTCACGTACGTGATTCAGACTGGTTATGGAAAAGTACATTTTCAGCGTACTTGATCTTCGTTCGACTCTCAGCCCACGATGGCAAGTAATTCGTTCGGATGCGAATTTAGATCGTGAGAAGCCGTTTTGTAAACGGCGTTTCTCACTTCTATGTTCTCGTGATCACTTTTTGCTCGTACTTTAACCTTCTGTTCGCCCGTTGTCATAAGAGATAAATTGAGTGGCTTCCAATGTACTTGAAGTCAAGTAAAGCCCCAAAATCATCTCCGATGTTAAGCAGTAGTTGACGAAAGCTGTGCTTTCTGCTTCATCCCAGAAATTGCAGCTAGTCTGTTTGTAATGGGTAACAAGCTGGCTGCACTTAAACCAGCCAATCGAGCGCGTTGACGGCATAATATTAATATAACCCCCCTAAGGGTACCGATAAATTTTCAGTGGTATTTTAATATTTCAGTACAATACGAACCCTGACGACCAAAAAAGTGGTTGTTCCGTTTTTGCAACGAGCGTGTGTGCTCTGATATAAGAATTATTTCCACTGCTCCTGACGCCAGAGCCTGAGAGCACTAAAGTTGCCTTGATAACACGTTGCGAACTCTCAATGTGAGTTTTGGCATGTATATTTACCGATAGTTCGATATGTGCTCAATTGTGGACCACTCGGTAGACATTCAAATCCTCAGCACTATTCAAGGTCCGGGACTTGTTAGCTGAAACTAATGACTAAGGCATCTCAAGCCTGGTGTTTTCTGTAATAAACGCAGGGTTGTAGCGCCGTCCACGACCGGCACCAGGCCCGCTAACCGTCACGTGACTGCGTCCCTCTAGCTGCCTCTGAGATAGCCAATTGCAGGTGC